TCTGCTCCAGTGTATGAGACTACCTTTTCTGGACCAGATAAATGTTTGTGATAGTGATGTACCTTGTTTCTTTCTCATTAACATGCCACTAAATAGCATCAATGCTCTGATTTTGGAAAAAAAAACAGAGTAGCTCTTTGGCTGCAGCAGAACAATATCTATATTCTTGATATAAAAGTTCTTGAAACCATAAAAAAAAGATGTTGGCCTCAGGGCATAAAGAAGGAGACACACATTATGCCGCCCATCCTTTGGCAACTCTTGTGCCTATATAGAGTTGCCTGCCACCTAATTAATTCCCCTGTCTGAACTTCTGTGAGCTTTGGATATGTATTTGTTTGTTTGTTTGTTTTTGTTTGGTTGGGTTTGGATTTGGTTTTTTTTTGGCAGGTGGCAACCCTATGCAAGTCACTTCTTTGAAGCTAAAGTATATTTACCTTGATTTTGGTTTTCATTCAAGAAAAAATATTAGATATTCATTTTCAAGATCAATATAGGGTGGAGTTTTCCATAAAATTGATTATTCTTTTAATTTTCTAGCCGTGTTTCATATCTCCATTCTCCTGCTCTTTTCTGTCAATTAAACAATTTTCCAATCCAGCCCTTGCCTAGAGTATTTTTGTAAAATCTGCAGGTTCTTCTGATTCTGTTTCGCTATATGCACATCCAAGCACTTGGCTAAGTATTGCTTGCTGAGTGAAACTTAAGTATTCATAGTATTTGGCCACTTTTAGTTGCCCCTTCCTAACTGCTCCTCTTCCAAACACAGAGATGTAATCAAAAGCCTCTAGGCTTGGAAGAGATAAGAGACCTTGTTTTGCTTCTAGTGCTTTGAGGCACTGGAACGGGTTGCCCAGAGAACCTGTGGGTGGCCCATCCGTGGGAGTGTTCAAGGCCAGGTTGGATGAAACAATGTGGTATTATGACACATATCTCTTGTCAGTGGAATGGGAGGTGGAACAAAATAGTCTTTAAAGTCCCTTTCCACCCAGGCCATTCTTTCATTCTGTCACTGTTTCCTTTTTCCTCCCAGTTTCTTTATCTTAAAATTCTTAACCTTGTGCTGGATCAAGACCAAACTCAGTCCTCTCAGACCTTCTCAGTGAACAGTTTCATTTGAAACAGGTTGAAACAGGCTGAAGTGTTTTTTACTAAAAGCATATCAATATTTGTGGAGTTAAATTGACTTTCTAGAATGGTGCTTTCACCCTTGCAGGGTGTCCTTGTTCACTCTGAGCTTTTGCTGTGAAAGCTGATAGCACATCAGCTGCTCAGAATTTGTGGGTAAGCAAGAACACACCTGGCCTCGCTAATGACTACTCAGCGCCACTTAAGGGCTGATCAGAGGTGAAGGCTCTATTTACAAATAACAATTGCACTAGTCTGAAACTGAGCACACAGTTGCAGTGAAATCTTAGTCAGAAGGCAACGCTCAGCATATTTTAGGATCCGAGCACCAAAAGTGATATCTGTGACAATTTGCTTATGCACCACTGGCACCTGAAGCACCAAGACTCGTTAGCTATCCCATGACTGACCTTCAAGATTTCCACGTATTTTTCTCTCACCCTTCTGTTTTCTCTGAGGCCACCTGTCTGATCTCTGAGGTACACAGCTACTGAAACCTCTTTTGGAAAAGAGATTAGAAATTAGTAGTGCTGAAGATTAATCTCCTCTCAGGATTCTTGGCAATGTGTTAGCAGGATTAGGATCAAAGTATTTTCTTCCTTATTGGGCAGCAACCATGTTGCTAACATGCTTTCAATGAAACAAGAAGTTCAGCCTCTGCAGGAATGTTTTCTGGTGATCATTAGCTACTATCACACATAAAGTCAAGCTGGGTTGAGGGTGTAGGCCATCCTGCAGTTAAAGCAGCCTTTGTGGACTACAATATCAAATACACACAAGACAGATGAAACTGCTTAAAATAGCTGGAGTTGTTTTTCTCTCCCTGATTTGCACACTTTAGTGTTAGTAAAGAAATAAAAGATTATTGTTTCTAGTTATAGTTTTATATCTGAGTAGTTTTGTTTGGGTTTTTATTACAACAAAGGATACAATAACCTATTGCAATGAACAGTTGAAAAATCTGTGGCCTGTTCTTGCAAGGCAGTGTGGCATGTGCATCAATGACATTTTTTTGCAGCTGAACATTTAAAATGTTTCTAAAATTTGTCTTGACAAGCTAACTCGATGTGTTATATTTTCATTCACTTAAGATTTTTTTCCAGGAAAGTTGTTAAAAATATTGTTAGATGAAAAAAGCATTTTGGAAAACCAAATACTTTTCAATTTAAAGTTTCTGCAGAAACAGCTTGATTAATTTATAGGAGCCTTAATCTCCTCCTAACTATAACAGCTAATTAATCTTGGAATAAATATAGGTTGGATACTGTATAGTAGAGACGAGGCACAGATATTAATTATTAATAGTCAATGCTGTAAGGCTGAAAGATAAGTACTCAGGGGAAAATCTTTCCTAAAACTCAAACTGAAATATGCAAACAAATATAGGGGTGACAATTTCCAGAAATATTAGCAATGACTAGGTGTTTATCTTCCCCTGACAGTCAGAGAGCATTAAGCACCTAATTGCTGTGTCTTTGAAAGTCTCCCCGATTTATAAAGTAAGTCCTCAGTTTTCTGGAAGATTCAGCCTAATTGTGTACACTTTTGCAATCTTCCACCAACAGAAGGTCACCGCAGAAATCTGAGCTTGTAGAAACTGTCTGTCACTTCCATGACCTCCATGAGAGAGCCAGGATTGCAGAATTGTTTGGTGCGTTTTCAATCTGTTTTTGAGTCATGGGGGTCAGGTCTTAGTGAAACATGTTTGATTTTGGACATGTTAGGTAAATCTGCATTCCTGGGGGTTAGGGAAATTTCCTCCATGTTTCCCCTCTTTCATTATTCACATGGTTGGTATCAGGATTTCATATTTGCAAATTTGCTTTTTTTTTAAATCTCTGACTGCTTTGTTATAGTAGGTAATTAACTTTTCCAAACAGTTCTAAATGCTGATCTGGTCTGTGCTGACATTCCAGTTTGGTATTTCAAAAAGAAATATAGAGAAAACTGTGTTGTGCTTCTGCTAAACGAAAATGGTGACTACGCTTCACTTTTGGTTTCCTGGGAGCAGTACAGCATGGCTCACTGTCTGAGTCCCCCTTTGGTGTCTGAATCTTCATATGGGACTGGCCTGATCCTGGTGGATGTGGGGTGGGTCTGTGGAAAGTGGACTTGTATATCTGCTTGTCTGGGTTTCCTACCTGTGAATTCATTCTGGATTATGCAGCTATAAACCACTGCAGACTGTATAAGAATTCTTAAATCAGATTGTCATTACCTTTTTATGAGCAAGTCTCAGCCCCCATTATTCAGAGCGAAACATATAAATAATTTATATGTATTATCTAAAAAAAGAATGAAATGAGCTAGATATTTCTGGCAACTCAGTGAAACCGTCATTGCTGATTCAATTCTCTTTCTTTCATCTTTTCCCATAAAAAGAGAGATACTGGGAAAACAAAATAGGTAAAGAAATTTTGGAGGGCTGTTTTTGTGTTGTGGCTGTTGTTTGCAGTTGACGTTGTTGGCTTTTTGTTTTCTTTGTACCAGGGTTCCGTATCAGTCTCTCAGTGATAAGTGAACTTCAAATAGAAATACGTTGCAGAGCTTATCTCCAGTACTACTGTAGACTATATGTGTGTGAGTTTCTGAGCAGCCATAGCACATAAACCACAATGTTTGAAAATGCTCATTTGACAATATTTCTTTTTTCAAAAGTTCTCTTTCAGAAAACCAATTTGCAGTTATCCTAACTTCATCTGAATTCTTGAGATGTCATAATTTTTAAAGTAATAATTTTCTGTCAGTTATTAACAACTCCTACAAAATATCTACCCCTTGCCTATCTCTGTAGTAGAATTACTAAAGGTTATGAGGAGAAATGGTAGCCCATGTAGTATATTTTAAGTATTGGATATGGTTTAATAAATGTTAGATTTTCTTTTTGCAGTTGACCAAAGGGTTTTAGAGCTAGAATGAAAGGGTTAAAAATGAAACCCCTTAATGCAAGGCCTTCTAGTGTTGAGTATGCTTATTAAAACTGAATGCTGTGCTTTTTGACCACCTGCTTCCACAGCACAAACCTCATTTTACTGTGGGCATTTTTGCTTAAATGAAAAATACTAATACAAAAGCTGCTGGCTGTGGTCTGAAGTGGCACTTGAATATCAGCATGTTCTTTTTTCTGACAAAACATCCTCCTGAGCAGGTCAGCTAATGCTAGCAGGGGATATGCTGAGGCTCTTAAATACAATTGTGAGCCTAACTTTTGGTTACAGAAGCACCTGAGTTTATTTTCTAAGAGAATAAAAGAAAAAAAAGAAAATTTTCCTGCCAAAACCATTTTTTCCCATAAATTTATGCACCTACTGATAAGTGTCCATAGCTCTCTGCTGTACATTATCTATGATTAGTATATTGTGAACATTTTACAGAAAAGTGCAATCTTTTTCCCTTGAGATTTTTAATTATTGCTAGAAGATAACAATTTCTTGTCTCCTGTGTGTTTTGACTGTGTGTTTTTGAGGATAGAGTACATATACATTCTTTAGCTTTAAGAAGCGTAGAAGACAACACTAATGAAGAGACAGTGTTAAAGTTTCTGAATATTCTTTCCTACGGTCTGATATGATCGTTCTTCTGGAAAAAAATGACTAAAAGACTAAAATGTCTACTACAAGCTTAGGACTACAGTCTGTAATCCTTTAAATGTGTCTTTGAAATATCTGTCTTATTTCTATCTCAACTACCAATTTCATAGGCACTGGTGATATCAAGTATGCTTATACAGTATAATTCCAGTATGGAGGTGCTTTTCTCATTTATGGATGTCTCAGTGAAACAAAATTCCTACTTCCCATTTTTGCACCATTGACATTTACAAGGCTATTTTTGATCAGTATTAACCTCTGCTCTCTGCTTTGTCTTTCCAGCACTGGCTTGAGCCCAACAAGTCCATCTTCAAGCAAATGAAATGTAAGTCTTGAAAGCTCATGTTTTTAAACTTATTTTTAAATAAATTTAAAATTTAAATATTTTTAAATAATGGAAGGTTTTGTTGTGCATTCATGCAATAATTTAGAATAAGCTTCATTTTTTTCTCAGTGTAAACAGGTCCTTCATTGTAGCACATTAAGGAGTCCTAAAACCTCCATGCTACCCTGATCTTACCATCTTACAGTGTTCTGCATATCAAAGCTTTTCCTTACTGCTCATGGCTACAGCCAGAGGCCAGCAGACTTGGGATGGCAGACCTGGTCAGATGACCTCTATGTTCCAACTCTCATTTTCAGTAGATGCCATCAGCTACTGGGACATGGTAACAAAATAGAGTGTGGCAACTGCATCTGGGTCTTTTCTGGTTATTGTTCTTTCTGTTGCCCCTTGCTTCCTGAAATTGCAGAGCACTGGCCTGTGATTGTTGTCACTGTCCAGCAAACTCAAGTACTGTGGGCTAAGTGGTGAGCTTTCTACCACAGGTGGGGTAACTTAAGATCAGTATTTTAAAAAGTATCTTTAAAACAGGAATGTATTATTTTAATTATCTTTTTGAAATGTTACTGTCTGGCCTATGGTTTTCATTAAATAGTCCAGTCAACTGTGAAGACCTTTTCAGGAAACAGAACTGCTTTGGGGCTCAGAAGTTTATATGCAGCAGTTTATTTGGCAATTCTGGGCAATTCATGTGGTGCGTTAGAAGTTGTGTCTTAGCTGTTATGTATGTATGTATGTATGTATGTATCTATCTATCTATCTATCTATCTATCTATCTATCTATCATCTATCTTATTAAATGAAGGAGAATTTTATCCTCATATGGTTTGTATACAGTTTTCTGTTTTATCAAGGAGACTTTTGTGTGAGAGACAATGTACTTTCTTTAAAATGTGGTGAGGCTTAAGAGCTTGTCTAATATGCAAAACCAGTTAATACTGGATGTTGACTGCACTATATGGAATATTTCAAAGAATTCCTCCATTAAGGCAGCCATACTGCAATATATGCATACATGTGTATATATGCCAACACATACATATCTGGCATCTTCAATATGAACTTGTATATCTAGTGTTTAGCTAGGTGGAGTACTATCCAGTAACAATTAAGTTCAAAAATGTCAAATTAGAATGAAGTTGCGCTCTTCAGCAATGCTAGTAAAGGAAGAAAAGAGGAAGAACAGAAAAATTGTAGTAATTGTAAATTATCTTAATCTCTTGCTTCCTTCCAAAGTGTTATCAAAAGGAGAACAGTTTCCTGAATATATCCTCTGGCCCACATTTATGTTACTGCTTTTACCCACAAAGAATAAGGGCTGATTCCTCCTGTGTACTTTGCATAGCAACACATGCAGGGGCTCTGCCTACAGATGTGCTGAGAATCTTTTGATGTATTCAAAACAACCTTTTTTGCATAGAGATGCTGCCTGAATGTGATAGATGGTAGTCCATGAAGTCCGTAGATGTAGTGATTTGATGGCCTCATCAGCAGATTTCTGTGGCTTTTGTGATAGGATCCTAATCAAAACTCTAAAAACAAATTAATACATAGCAAAAAAGCAAAATAAAATGCATCTAGCATGAGGTTGTTTATCATGGTGAAAAGGTCTTAAGAACAACAGCCAAAGAGAATGAGATGCTAACAAAGGTTTTTTGTTACCGGCCTTAGATTTAGGACACAGAAGTTGGATTAACAATTTATGTTTAAAAAGTTGGATTGGCAACATATGTTTAAAAATACTAGTTTAAGTTAACTTTCTCTTATGTCACAGAAGAAGGACTTCAGTTGCTACAATAATGCTTTAAGGAAAAAAAAATAAAGCTATGTATATATATTTTGTACACATGTAGAATCCATGAAGATTCTGCTCCCACAGATTTCAAGGATATTTTTTGTCTGAATTTGGCATCAAGTATATTTTGATTTATTTTTTTTAAATAGGCTGTATTAATGTAGAAAACCAAACAATTTCTAAAGGAAGAAAGGTTAACTCATATTTGACCTAAAAACATTCAGTTTATTATGAAAAAGTTTAAACTCAGAAGAAGAAATTATTGATACTCATTTGCAAAACTTCCCATGTCATGCAGCATAAGTGAGGACTGAAATTAGTAGAAGGTGGAAAGTCCAAAAACTGAAGCAATGAAGTGACTGGTTAATAGCACATACGTTACATATACATGACTCCTGGGAGAAATGATGGCAGAAAGCTATTCACAGTGACTGCATTAAATGGAAGTTTCCTTTCATTCTTTTGCATTAAGGAATTCAGGAAAAAATGAATAATTTTCTCTCATAATCTCTAATGACTCAAAAAGTTCTAAATTCAGCTGAATGCTTAGATTTAGATAGAATTGTGAAGCACTTGTATACGTCCAGAAAAAAAATACAAAAATGTTTTGTTCTTGAGCTCAGCTACCATTTGTGGGAGCTTCCTTTTCCTCCATTTACAGCAGCAGGTTTTTCAGTCTATTTATTCATGCAGCTCAATATTGGCAAATATTTGGAGCAGAAAAAGTTTGACTAGTAGAAGTACTCTAGTATGCATTTTATTAGGTACTTGCTTTCATGGGCCTCAGTAGTACATTAATCATTCAGGCATAATCCATCTATAATCAGGTTGTAGAGAATTCACAATCTGGCAACAATACATTACTGTCTGTGAAAGAGAATGTTGTTTCTTTGAAGCTCTGATGTGTCCATAGGATCCTGTGTGATTTTAATTTCTACAATTTTAATTTCTTTGGCTTTGGAAAAAAATTGCTTTAAGCTCATATTTAGTAACATTGGTATATGACAGGAAGAATCTTCTAAAATTTTCTAATTTGTCTTATCACATATGAAAGACATATATTTAAATATGTTCTGGTGCCACACAAAAAGAATGAAGGCATGGTATCTTTTCTGTATCACCATCTACCTTTGTATTTTCTTTTTCATTGTCATTGTAATGTTTGTGTTTTAACATGATGTGTAGATCTGTGCCTCAGCCATTTTTATCACTGATTTTGCCTGAGAGGGAAAAATTCAGTTTCTGAGAAAATGTCCTGAACCACTGCCAGTCTTGTTTGTACAAATTGAAGCCAATTGGTGACCTGCAGCTGCAAGCAGTGTGTTTCCAACTGCGTGACAGAAAACTCTCTGGAAGGTTGCCTAAGGAAGCTGTATCTTTGAGGTTCAGGACACAGAACTTCTAAAAGAAATTTTTCTGTTCTTTTGCATGTTTTTGTGTATAGCGTTATTCTCTCCCAAATGCTGACAATAGAATTATCTGTTTGGCAATCTTTATTGCTTATTTTCTGTCTAGGAATGTTATGGTGTAAAACCTGAGTCACATCAGCACTAATGTTTAAGTAAAGAAGAGTTTGCCTATGCACTCTCTCCTGCTGTTTTTTTGATTACTTTTAAAGATTATTCTGCCTAGTAATATGCAGCTCTTCTGTAACCTGCTTTGTGGGAAATACTGAAATATATGGGTTTTGTTCTTGATGACAGCGGGACAGAAGAATTTCTGTTGTTCCAATGTGCAGCAGCTCTAAATTTTCATGTTTTTCTTGTTGTCTTGCGTAACTGAAAGAGAGTAGGTTTAGATTCTATATTAAGGAAAAATTCTTTAGTGTGAGGGTGGTGAGGCACTGGAACATGTTGCCCAGAAAGGTAATAGGTGTCCTGTCTTTGGAGGTGCTCAAGGCCAGGTTGGAACCTGGTCCAGTGCAAGCTGTTCCTGCCCATGGCAGCAGGAGTTGGAACTAGGTGATCTTTATGGTCCCTTCAAACCCAAATCACTCTATGATTCTGTGACCTCAAAGAGTAATGCTACAGGGATGTTCTCCTGTGTCAGGTCACTGGAATTTTTCAATTAATTTCCATGATCTCTAATGCTGTCCTAAAACCTGAAAGGAGGTGGAATGTACCAGTGGTTCTCAGTACAAATGTAAAGAGAAGTTTAAACAAATATGAGTATCATAAATACATATACAGGTATATACATTTATTCAATGAGAGATTCATAAATACATATGCGGGAGTTATGTGTGATCCTTCAGGCACTAATATGAATGCTGTGTAATCTATAATCCTAACGAATATTTAATAACAGCATTTTAAGCTTTATTACAAACACCTGACAAAAATCCACCTTGCCCTGTATTGTACTGTAACTAATGTGTGAAATATGGGAGAGCCCTAATTTGAGATTGTTCTGGTTTGAAAGTAAAACCAGTGAGACACTCCAAGTCAGACATGCAACTTATTAGGAAAAGGGAAAACAAAACCAAAAGACATGCGATAATACAAAAGAGAAAAAAAACACTGACCAAGTCAGAATGCAACCTGACACCCTGTTGGTCAGGGTGTTGGTAGCAGTCCAGCTGGATTGGTGGCTGCAGTGCTCCTGGAGTGGCAGATGCGGTTCTGTTGGAGCAGTGATCCTGTAGAAAGGGTATAGTCTTCCTCTGAGGATCCAGTGGAAAAGACAGCTGCTCCTCTGGGAATCCAGTGTAAAGACTAACTGCTCTGTCCCAAAACCCAGATTATATCCAGGTGGGGATGCTTAGCTCCTCCCCCCTGGGAAAAAGCATCTCACAATGGGCTGTTATCATCCTAAGGAGTCATGTGTTGGGTCCTTGATTGCCCATGAACCACAAATGGTTCCCAGAGGGAGTTCTGTCTGAGTCATATGCAAGGCATTGATGGGCCCATTAACAGGAGATAAGGAAAAAACAACTTCCTTCCTTGTTTCAGTAGCTTTTGAGGATGGGAATCTTCATATTGTAACCTAGGACAGAGATTTATGATAGATCAGGTATCCTTTATGCATAAAAACACCGAGTAATGCCTAAAGACAGTTCTGCCTGTCTTTAAAATGCTCAGCAAGGAATATGGATAAAGAGCTGATTCATCTGGAAAGGAAACAGGTATATGGAAACAGATATGTATGTCTTAATGGTTCCCCAGAGATGCTTCTGCAGAAATAGTGAACATGAAGACTATTTGACTGTAAATTTTTTTATTGCCGGTTTCTTTCTTTCTTAAATTTCACTGACTTTTTGTAGGAATCTGTAGTTCAGAGAATATGTAACATGAAGGAAGTATTCTGCAATGTTGCATTCTCAGGACCGTGAAGATAATTTTAAAATCTGCTTTTGGCTTTCAGTATCCATGTGTAATTAATGTACAGATGTTGACGTACACTGGCAGTGCAATGCATTATAGAAGATTAACATTTGTGGCATAAGGCATTAACATTTGTGTTTGGTGAAAAGGAGATTGTGAAAAATAAACTTTCCAAGACGTATCAGCTAAGACTCTTCCATTTTCTCTATTTGGTTGACACTTGTAAAATTTCAATCAAGTTTTTCAACAGCTTTTAAAAACTATTTTCATCTTTCACAGTGTTGTGGTTTAACCCCACCCAGCAACTGGCCCCACAAAGGCACTCGCTTAGCCCCCCACCGTCGAGATCAGGGAGAGAAGGGTAAAAGCTGGAGAAGGGGAACTCATGGGTTCAGACAAAGAAAATTTAATAGGGAAAAGAAAAGCACACACAAGCAAAGCAAAACAAGGCATTCATTCAGCCCTTACCATGGCAGGCAGGTGTTCAGCCATCTCCAGGACAGTAGGGTCACACCACATGTAACAGTGACTTGGGAAGACAATTACTCCAAAAGTCTCCCCTTCCTCTTTCTTTTTCCTACTTAATATACTGAACATGATGTCATGTCATCTGGCACATTCCTCTGGTCAGCTGGGGTCATCCTTCCTGTCTGTGTTTCCTCCCAAATTCCCATGCACTCATTGTCTCCTCACCAGGGTGTCAGTACGGAAAACTTCTCTGTATTATAAACCCCGTGTTCAACACAAATCCAAAACACAGCCACTGCAAAGAAAATTAACTTTACCCCAGCCAAAACCAGCACACATAAATATTTTATTCTTTTTTTCAGATTCTTTTTCTATGAAGAAAATGGTAATATGAATATGTGGGGGTTTTGTAGAGTGCTTAAAAATAGTTCATGTGAGACTCAGTCCCTTACTTACTGATTTCTGTACCAAGGGAGGCATCTTCCACACCCCTCTTTGTTCTTGTGATGGTGTTGTAGGTTTGGGCATACTTTAGGGAGATCTTTCAGTTTTGATGGAATGCAAAGCATATTGTATCTTAGTTAAATGTAAATAAAATAAACTTAAAAAATATACAACCAGTTGCCTTGAAAACTATGCTCTGTGTGTAGCTCCTTCTGAGGGTTTAGATCATGACTTTTTTCAGCATTTAACGTAACTTAAATGATTTTATTTGTACTGTTTCTTTCACCTCTTATGTACTGTTAGCATTTAAACTGGCAAATTAATGGTTCTGCTTCAATAGAGTTGGCTGCAAATACTATTCTCCACACTAAAGTCCTTTGAAATTATTGCAATTGTGAATGGTTTTTAGTGAGAAAGTGAACTCAGATGGTAGGAAATTCTGACAGAACCTCAGGTATTTTGATATGCCAGCTGCTTCTTATCTGAGAGATAAAGGATGTTCCAAAAGAAAAGGCTTATAAGAAATAGCTACTAAGAAAATCGATCATATGCCTTGATAGTTTTGTGTTGATGAAATGTGCTCCTGCAAATTCTGCTCTATTTTGGGAAGGTTTGCTGCTAGTATTTCCACTTTAATATGTAGTGGTCAAAAGTAATTTTACTTTCAAGGAATTGAGAAATTATCTGGCTTGACAATCACATCTCTTGAGCTGATAAAATTCAATGCCTGTCTTGGTTTCTGCTATGTGCAACCAAGTAGCAGTCCTCATGAATGTTTCTCCAGTGTAGTAAAATCTATGAGAAAAAAAGCCTTGCTAAACATTTACATATCATCAAATGTCTCTGTGAAAGAACATTAGGCTTATAATCTACCTTAAAATTAAGATGGAAGACAAAGTGGATATCTTTGGGAGTTCTCTCCTTCCATTCAAATGTTCATTGCAGCTGGTTTTCCAGCTGAGAATAAGAAGGAGAAAAAGAGCATCTCCTGTAATTGCAGGGAACCTTCTTATCTCCACAGATGAATTATATGGATAGGTTCATATTCTTTTTACCATTTCAAATTGCAAGTTGTTTTTGTTCTATTCTTGCACAGCAATAGAGAGGGGATCTTGGCTTAGCAGGCTGCAGCAGACTTGTATAGTATTGTTGCACTTCTGAGGAGGAATATTGTTACAGGAGCTTGAGCCTAGAAAAAGATTTGAGAAATAGGCTTTAAGCTGCCTTGACAAATCTCCTGCATGTCCTGTGCACTGGTGTGTACTTCTGTCACATATTGTTCTTCTGCTCAAGTAAAACATTTCCTACTTTAACCTTTCCTATAAACGTGGGCTATTTTTATAGCACACTCTATGCCATCATCTCCTCACTGTGATACTCTGCATATAGGACAGCTGATACTTTCATGTGTTTACCACATACTGCCAGAATGGAACTCTTCTAACATAACTTTTATTAATTTATTTATTTTTACCACTGACAGATTTTCAATATTTTATTGACATCTGGAAAATTGGGTAAAATTCAGTATATTTTTTGAGTCTTGCAGTAGGCTTTTATTTGCTAGAGCCCTGAAGACACGTGAAATAGCTATTCTTATATCTTCATGGCTATTTCCAAACTAATTCTAAATCTGCCAAAACATTTAAAAGTGGGCTTTTTTCCTTTCCCCCCACCCCAGGGGAAGAGCTCTTGCTTGTTTAATACAGGTTGTCTCTTCTGTCATGTTTTTAAACTGGAACAGTATTCCAAAAGTGCGGGCTTTCTTCCCTTGCTTAGTTTTTACATGACTATTGAGGAGTGACAGAAACGTTTAAGATTACTTAAGTTATCTTTTGCTGTGTCCAGGCAACATGACTCCTTAGTGAGTTTTTGTATAGCTGCTTCCCTTTCTGGGACACTTTGCCTTCTACTTTGCTGTTGCAGGGCAGTGAAGACATAATGATATCTTCTGTTTTGCAAACTGTTTCCAGTCACTGTAAGACAATGCTGCAGTCACATCTAGGACAGCAAAGCCCACAGGAAACAGATTGAGTGTTTCTCTAGCCTTCAGAGGGCTTCTCCAGATCTAAAAACTGTGAAAGTTCAAACCATCTCTAGAAAAAAATTAAGGTTTTTTTTTCCTTAATTTCCCCTTAATTTCTTTTTATTATTGATTACTTGCTTTTTTCTTTTCCTGCATTTTTTCATATTTCCATTCCCATCCCTCTTGAAATTACTCCTTTTGTCTTAAATGAATAGTTATTTAAACAAGGAAAAAAAAGTTAAATCAGCAGTTTTTGTGGAAACTGACTGTGCTAAATAAGTACAATGTGCGATTTTAAAAGAGAAAAATATTTCTTTATCTTCAAGAAGAGTTGAGTTTTCCAAAAGATACCAACCACAACAAAATATTTAATTTGTTTTTATTTTCTATTGCTGTTGCACATCACATGGAACTGTGTGATAGCTAGAGGTGTGTTTCTGAAACATTGCAACATATATGTAAATACTGCAGTCAGAGTAGCTTGAAGAGTATGATGATTGTTAAACTAATCACCATATGAAGTTTATACAAGCCTTTGAAGTGGTAAGCTTAAGAAGATGGTACAGCAAAATGTTCTGGTAACATACTAATTACTGTTATAATTTACAATTAAAAAAAGAAATTATTGATTTCACCTGGTATTGTCTTCCATTTTCTCTGTAATTTTTTCCTGCCCTTTTCTTCTGCTTTCTCTTTTCCTGACGTAAAAACACAATCTCTTCAAAGTTTTGGAAATTCAAAATTGTCTTTGTACATTGAGAAAATACCAAGACCAAAATATATTAAAACTAACTAGAATATTGTAGATCTGCACTTTGCTCTGAATCAAAGTGCCTGAGAAGCATTGATTGCAAAATTGAAATATTTCCTGTTATTGTGATCCTTTCCTCTTTCTCCTTTTCCCTTTCTTTTTCCCCTCTTTCTTTCCTATTGAAAGGATTCAATAGGAAAGGATTCAAACATAAGGCCTGGTATTGATACCATTGTTCAGAGTTAGGTACTATAATCTTATTAAATACTGGGAACAGAAATATTTATACTGTCTTTAATTTCATTACCTAAATGGTTTCTTCAATTTCATAGTATTATCATTGCTTTCTGCTTATAATTTCCCAAAAAAGACCTCCCCAAAATAAAGCATATATAATAATGCTCTGGCTTGAATCTCTGCCTAAACTAACAATTAGTAAGTGACTTTAAGGTCACTCCTTCAGAATGGCTTAAGCAATATTTGTTTCCTATGGTTCTCATGCTTTTTCTTTTTAATTTTTCAGCTCATCCACCATATACCATGTGCTTTAGAGTGAAATTCTACCCACATGAACCCTTGAAGATTAAAGAAGAGCTCACCAGGTATTTTTTGTTTTCTTTTGGTTTAGTTTCTTTGGTTCTTTTTTAGTCTGTGCATTTAATGTGCTTTGCGAACAAGTTCAAGAAAAGGCAGATTGTTGTTTAGGGTAGGGTTCTCACTATTCCTGATTAAATTAGCATAGGCTGACATTACAATATGATCATCTTCTTCGTACTTTGTGATTCCTATGGATTTTTAAAAGCAGTTTAAAGGAACTATTCTACAACATACAGACAAGTAGTTACGCTATGCAAGAATTTAAAAAAAATGAAGCAATGGTCAAATGACTGGGCCAAATTTATTCGGGTCCTTTCCTTTCCTTTCCTTTCCTTTCCTTTCCTTTCCTTTCCTTTCCTTTCCTTTCCTTTCCTTTCCTTTCTCCCCTTCCCCTTCCCCTTCCTTTCTTTTTTTTTTTCATCTTTCTTTTCATTTTTTTTTCCTTTCTGAAATAATCTGGAACATTTAATTCAGCCCTGACTATTTCAAGACATTTATGTATAGACTCACTTAATTTTCTCTTGGGTGTGTCTTCAGGATCACAAATAAGACAGTCTTTTCAAAGTAGTGGCAGACAAACAAACTGATACAGAGGTTCAATATATTAATATTTTTCAAGTACAGCTGCTCTGGAGGGTAAGAATTCTTGCTGTTTATGTTGGAATGTTGAAATTTTTGTTATGGAAACGGAGCTGTATGACAGCTCAGCTGTGCTTAATGAATGGGAACTTTGTCCTTCTTACTGGCCATTGTGAATATTCTGTTGCTCTGGGCATTTTTCCAAGAAGTGCACATGGGGGAGGAATGCAAAAAGTTAGCTCTTTTGAGCTCTGTACCAGCTGTGCAGGACTGTGCACGTGTGCTCTGCCACCTCGTTAGTGTGCATGCCACAGAAGCACCGTGTGCTGCAGCACTCGCTGCCTTGCGCTCTTTGCTGATTCTTTCCCCAAGCACCACGTGTGCTTGTGCTCACAAGTCACTTCACGAGTGTGCGGCATCCCATGGTCACTGGCCTCATACTGAAAGTTTCAGAAACAGCTTATGTTCTGCTGTATAGAACAGCTGGAGCGTGCTGTTATTTTACAGCTATTTATCTTGGGTGAAATATTCTGAGTAAACTGGTTGCAAATCAGGAAGTCAGTGGATTTTCATTATTTGCTACTGTTTGTCCTTGGATGATCATTTTAACTTTTATGATCCAGAGTATGATTGTATAGACCCTTCTCATTCAAGAGTCTAAATTAACTGACTTTTTAAAAACCTGGATATCTTCCCAGGATAAGTTTTATTGAAATACAAAGCACCAAGAATTGGCTCACTGATGTATATTGGGCTGTGAGTATGTTTTAGTCTTTGCTGGGATATTTCAAATAAATTTTTAAAGTCAAGTTGCTGTGTGAAATATGGGTTACAGTCTTTTACAAAAATTAATAGCATTAAGAGCAAAAAGGAGAAATAATTTGAGACATCATGAATTCAACATGTTTTTGTATCTGGTCATCTTAATAGTTTCTCAGTGTTGTTATTTGGGAAGTTTTGCTTCATCTCTGCCATATGTCTTCACAATAACAAAATACAGAAAATTCTCCTGAAATGAGCAAATGAAGTGCAGTCATGTAACCCATCTCTGAGAATTTGCTTCATGACCAAAGCAAAAGGTCAGATTCTAGGTGATGCTCTAGATTGGCTAGATTGGCAATGCTCTAGATTAGTTATTTTTCTTTTCCCTTAATTGCTATGATTAGTGAAATTCAAGCAGAAGAATGCTCATTAGCATTTTACAGAGGACAGTCGTGAATCCTTGAGGACTGGTTGGCTTCTTGGTAGATTTTGCTATGCCTTTTTTTTAATGATGCTGTGTTCACTTGAGAATCATATTTTTTGCTGTGTGTTCTTAAGATGTTTTGAAAATAAATTAATAATATTGCCTTTGACTTAAAAACCATCTGTACTTTGCAGCTGTACGTACAGTCAACTGAGTGAGAGTAATAGTGTTTTGCATTTCTGTTACTGTCCGTGCCTATGGATGGCAGAGCTGCTCTCTCACTTCTTCAGCTGAGTGGAAATCTGATGGGTGTCTGTGGTCCCCATTTAAATATTGAAATTCAGTTACAGTAAGAGATTCTATCACATTGCCATACCGCTCTTTGTTTCAGACTTTCATTAACCCTGTGGTTAATCCCTCATATGGATTATTGCCGATGCAGTCTTTCAAAAATCTTTGTAGGAATAAATCTTTAATGAAGCATCTTAGAGATATCAGAGAGACTTACAGGTCTTAAAAAGAACTGGTTTTCCTACTCTTCCATTGAAAAAGCTGATGTGAAAAAATCATCTGTTCAGTTCATGAAGTTTTGTGTCTATGGGGTAAAGGTTTGATTTCTGTGAAACCAGTGCAACATGGGTAGAGATACTATTCAGGATTTAGACATCACTTGCAGGAAGAAAATTTAAGAGTTGTCCCCTGAGATTACTGATGCTTCATTTCTGTCCTACCTTGGTCCCAGCCTTCCCTGGTTTAGCTTGACTGTAATCCTTGAGTTATTCTGTTGTTTAACATGTGAAACTATTATCTGAAAATGAAAGTGGAGAATGACCTATCTGAAGTTATCACTAGGTCTATGATATCACAGAAAAAAACTCTGTAATAGTCTGAAAACATGTGCAAACTGTGTATTTGGAGGCCAGGAGTACCTTGGACAACAGATGATGCTGCCTGTCACTGCATTTTATTACACTGCTAAGGACAACTAAGAATATTGTCAGCCACTCTGTACCTTTCCAGCCACTTACTTTCATCTTCTCTTGTTTTAATTTACAAACATTTTCATAGCTATGCTTCTGAAATAAAATCAGTGTCTGCCTTCAGATGTCAAGGAACTCTGAAATATTGTTGCTAAAGGAGAAATTCTGTGGAAAATATTTGCCTCTCACTGTGGAAGGGAGGTTCTATGTGGTCCTTGGTCACTGTTTTCTCTAGAGTGAGCTGGTGTTAGGATGGTAACTCACAGGTTATCTTCAGAGGCCATGGGGGTTGTTGCCTTGATCTCTCTTGCTTATGTAGTAATAGCCCACCTGAAACCCAACTTGTCACTGAAGTCCAAATCTTAAAGCACTTCAGTACTTCCCAGCTCATCATCTTAATGGATGTCAACATGGATTTAGAAGATCTGTCCTTATTTTTGGAAATAGTTTCCACAGCAGAGCACTGAAACGGCACATTTGAAACATGTTTGATAAAGACTAAAGATACAATTTTCCTTTTTAATTAGGCAATTTCCCCAATGCCTTTTAAAAAATTGTGATGAGAAAATGGCAAGGTTTTAACTTACTTTTCTCAAATGATTTGGCCTTTGCATGTGCACTGGAGGCTAAGCAGACTGCAACACAAACAGTGTATATATACTTTCCAAAGGTTTGTATAATCTTTTAAGCTCAGCCTTAATAGAAAAGTGGTGCTCTTTGTAGTGTGTTGACCCTGACTGGATGCCAGGCATCAGCCAAAGCCTTTCTCTCACTTTTCTCCACAGCTAGACCTCTCACAGGGGAGAGAAAAGGTAATGAAGTGTTCATGAATTGAAATAAGGACCAGGAGAGATCACTCACCAAATACCATCATGGGAAGAGAGGGTGCAATTTGAGACAGTAATGGAATTTATTACTAAAAAATCAGAGCAGGATAATTATGAGTAAAATAAGACCTTAAAAATGCTTTCCCCCCATCCCTCTGTCTCTCCCAACTTTACCTACTCCTTCCATGGCATGGAGAAATGGGAAATGGGTTATGGGTTATGGTCAGCTCATCACAAGTTATTTCTTCTGCTGCTCAGGGAGAGGGGACCCTTCCCTCCTGCATTGTGGGAGACAGCTCTCCATTAATTTCTCTGATGTGAGTCCATCTCACGAGCAACAGCTCTCAGTGACCTGCTGCAATGTGAGTCCCTCCCAAAACTGCTACAGCATGGGTTACTCTTCCACAAGGTGCAGTCCTCCAAGGACAGGCTGCTCCAGTGGGGGCTTCTCCCTCCATGGGTCTCCCATGAGTTCACAGCCTCCTCAGGCATCACAGAATTAACTCGGTGGGAAAAAACATCTGATATCATTGAGTCTAACCCATGACCTAACATGACCTGCAGTCAACTAGACCATAGCACCAATTGCCACATTCAGTCTTCCCTAAACACCTCCAGGGATGATAACCCCACCATTTCCCTGGTTTGCCTATTCTAGTGCCCAGTCACCTGTTCTATGAAGAACTTCTTCCTAATGTCCAACCTACACCTCCTCTGGTACAGCTTAAGCTGCCTATTCTAGTGCCCAGTCACCCGTTCTATGAAGAACTTCTTCCAACCTACACCTCCTCTGGTACAGCTTAAGACTGTGTCCTCTTGTCCTGTCACTGGTTGCCTGGGAGAGGAGACCAAGCCTCACCTGGCTGTGCCCTCCTTTCAAATAATTGTGGAGAGCAGTAAGGTCTCCTCTGAGCCTTCTCTTCTCCAAGCTAAACAATCCCAGCTCCCTCAGCTGCTCCTTGTAGGACTTGTACTTTGGATCCTTCACCAGCCTTGTTGCCTTTCTCTGGACACTTTCGAGCAACTCAGTGACCTTCCTGAACTGAGTGGCTCAGAACTGGACACAGCACTCAAGACGTGGCCTCACCACTGCTGTGTGAAGGGGGACAGTCACTGCCCTGCTCCTGCTGGCCACACTGTTGCTGATACAGGCCAGGATGCCATTGGCCTTCTTGGCCAGCAGGACTCACTGTTAGCTCATGTTCAGTACTCTGTCAGCCCTTTCTGCCTGGCCTCTGACCAGCCACTCTGACCTCAGCCTGTAGCACTGCAGGGAGTTGTTGTGGCCAAAGTGCAGGACCTGGCACACTCATATCATTGGATTCAGTCCAAGTATCCAGCCTGTCCGGGTCCCTCTGGAGAGCCCTCCTACCCTCCAGCAGATCAATGCACACTCGGTGTCATCTGCAAACTTGCCAATGGTGGACTTAGTC